TAGAGGCACAGCAGTGGGTCAGACAGACGAGGATCTCTGTGCTCATGAAGCTCACATCCCGGTTAGGGAAGCATCAGGCAAAGTATCTGGCCTCTCAGGTAAGACCGGTTGCACTTCCCACCTGCCTGATGAAGGCAGGGCAAGTGCCCGATGGGGCTTTGGGCTTGCCCTGTACACGGCTGGTGTTGGTGTCAGGGGAGGATCGGAACAAAGTCTCTGAAAGGATGGATGTAAGATGTCCGGTGAGGGACGTCCGGGATGAGGGAAGGAGAATCCAGCAGAGCTGACCATCTGCGCGCCCTACGACCTGGGTTCCCTGCGGACTCTCTCTCCTTGGGGTCAACAATGCCCAGAGCTAAAAGCAGGTATTTCCATGCATGAAGACTGTGACTGCACTGAAGACAGAGCCTGCTGCGGGGCCCCCAGTCCAGGGCTCCCCAAACCTCCTGGTAGTCTGGAAAAAGGGATAGTGCACCTTACCCAGCGCAGCTGCCCTTGGTGGGCATTTGGGTGGGCCCGAGCGCCCTCTTGTGGCTCCCCTTGTCTGCATGGACCCTCCATATGTCCCTGTAGTTGGAGGGGCTTCCCTCGCTTGGATCGTTTCTCTCTCCCCAGCCTGGGCCCCTTCCCCGATTCCCAGCCTTTCCTGCCTCCAGCCCAGGCCCGAAAAGCTCATTCACAGCTCCCTCGCCTTTCTCTGTGTAGACCACGGGACACAAATCCCGGGCGCCTACAAGCCCTTGAGATGCCCCCACAGGCACGGCTATGTGGCGCTGTAGCGTGTAGGCACCCGGTCTGGGTCGGCGCTGACTGCGTCACTTCGGAGCAATTGCGCGGCCTCGCTGAGCCTTTTTTTTTTTTAATTTTAAAAATGGGGCTCTTAATTTATTTTTTATTTCAAATCTTTAGTGAAACTTACCGCCAAGGTGAAGGAGCAGGGCTTTGTGCCAGCTGGTTGCACATCCATTTCCTAAATTATTTGCTGACGGACTATTATTCGCACTTTCTGTCCTACCTTAATCCCTGATCATGGTGCACGTTTCAAGTCTATTTTAAACGTGGAATCTAACGTAGAGAGTAAATATTTTTAACTTTGAAGAAACCTGGTGAAAGAGGTACACAAAATGGGTTTTTTTAAATTCATTTTTATGTTATGTGTTATACCAGTACCTGCTTTAAAGAGCAAAATGTTTCCATGAAACTTTATAGTAGTTTCTGCCTTGAAGAATTGTGGGAATTAAATGAGATAATATCACTGGCCAGTATGTCTGTTGAAACCTCAAAACAGCCCATCCCCCACTGTTCATCAATAGATGAGTAGATGAGCACCATGTGATATGTATATGACATATGTGATATTTACCTTCCATTGTGTATATGATGATGTGAGTAGCTATAGATACAGGCAACGAAATATGACTAAGGCTTATTCTGACACATGCGGCAACACAGACAAACCTTGAAGACATTATTGCAAATGAAATGAGCCAGTCACAAAGACACATCCAGTGGGATTCTGCTTACATAAGGTACCTAGAGTAGTCAACTCCTTAGAGACAGAAAGTAGAAGGATGGCTGCCAGGGCCTGGGAGGAGGGAGGCGGGGGAGTTACTGTTTAATGGGCACGAGATGCGGTTTTGCAAGACTCGGAGAGTCCTGAGTTGGATGGCGGCGGTGGCTGCCACCACAACAATGGGGATGTGCTTCCTGCTACTGAAGTGCACAGTTAAATGGTTAAGACAGTTACATTGGAAATTATTTGTATTTTATACCAATAAAAAAATCTTTTGACAAACCTAATAAAGTGATATTAAAGTTATAATATATATATTTTTGTGTGTGTGACCCACCCCCACCCATTATAATATATTTTAAAATAATAGAGCTCTCTTCTCCAGGTGACAAATATAGTGGGCACCCCACTGAGAAGGGGAATGAGGAGTCTCGGGTTCCAGTTAGTACTGAACAGTATTAGTCATGGAGAGCTTCCTGGAGGAGGTGAGGTAGTGGACTGATGCTAGGCAAAAGGAACAGAGGGATTCCACTGGTGAATGATTCTATCTCAGTGCCCATCTGGGCCCTGCCCTGTAGCTCACCTCTATATGGTTTCCACAGAGACAGTTTCCAGGGAGCTCGGAATGTTCACATGGCTCTCACTTGACAACCAGAAACTGTGGCTAACCATCTGCCATGTTCTTTTCATCATCCTGGGCCCATGGGCTCTGCACTGCCCAGGCAGCAGGTGCCTAGCCAGGCAGGCACTTCCTGTTTCCCTCCTCCACCACACACAGGCCTCACAGGGACAACAGAGACTCTCATTGAGAGAGGTAAGTCCATAGAAGGTGCTGGATGGATTGAAGGCAGACACAGACAGTCTCCGGCCCTACAGGAGCTTCCCATTTGTTCGCATCCAAGGCGAACCCTGCAGACCCTGGGGTCCAGGGTAGACAGAACATAGTCCTGGCCCTCAGGGGACTCACAGCCCAGTGCAGTACATAGAGCAACCTCATCCTTTCACTAGACACATGCTAGTGCCCACTTCATGATGGCTGCTGGGCCAGGGGCTTTCAAAGACAGGGCTCACCCTCAGTGGGGTGAGTGGAGGGCAGAAGAGATGTCACAGTGCCCCACTCACTCCTCAGCACTCACTGCTAAGCACCATGGGCTGCTTTCTCTACACTCTGCAATTCTCTGCCTGAGGGCTTTCGCGCCCCCAGAAGTAGCTCTCAGCATGTGGCAGACAGGGAGTGAGTGAACAAACATCCCAGTTCCTTTGCTCTCAACTGGGACAACTCATGTCCCACAGTGAGCTCCATAGTGGCAGGAACTATAGCTTGTTCATCTGGGCCGGGATCACAGTGTAGGCACTTAGGGATGGGGCTGCCACTGCGTGCGCACCTTTGTGCAGGGCACAGCCTGCATCACCATCTATGGCAACCCAGCTTACGGAGGCTTAGTGAGTGCTTCAATGAATGAATCAGTGGAATTTTACATAACTGGCGAAGGACATTGCAAGCAGAAGAGACGGAGAGAGCAAAATCAGGGTTGCCTGAAAGTGCAGAGCTTCTTGGTGGAATGAGCTTTATGCCACAGGCAGTATATCTCAGAAGTTCCACAGCCTCAGCTGTAGCATCCCCCACAGTGTGGGTGACATACCCGCATTCCATCTCAGACCTGCTCATCTAGAATCTTTGCAGAGAGGGCATCCCAAGGGAACCTCAGGAACACAAAATTTGGAGAGATACAGGTCTAGCTAACAAAGTGAATGGTACACTGCAAAGGGGTGAGTGGGACTAGCTGGACTGGGTTGAGTCCAGGCCAATAATTCATTCATTTATGCATGCGTGCGTTCATTCAATATTGAGCTGGGAAGGTACTCAGGCATACCTGTACACAAAGACAAACATGATCCCTGCTCGATTTCAGTCTAGTGGGAAGAGAGCCACTAAATAAATAAGCAAACAAATACCTAATGCAGCATCACGTTATGATTGGTGCTTTGCAGGAAAGAAAGGAGGGTCAAGGGTTAAAGAGTGAAGGAGGTTGTTTCAGATGGGTGCCAGGGAAGCCCTCTGCTGAGGCTAGTAGAAAATGAGGGAAGGAGCCACTTAAAGGAAGGAATGAATCATACAGATATTTGGGGAAAGACTACTCCAGGCAGCAACAGCAGTACCTGCAAAGGCCTGGAGAACAGAACACGTGAAGGGAAGAGACTAGATAGGAAGCTACTGCAATAGTCCAAGTATGAGATGCTAGAGGATCAGACCTGGGTGGACGCAGTCAGATTCAGAATATATTTTGAGGGCACGGGTGACTAGCTTTGCTGTTAGATCAAATGTGGGTGTGAGAGAAGATGGGGGTCAAGGTTACTGCAGGCAAGAATGCAGATGATGAAGGAAGAGTTAGAGGAGATGATGTCAGAGGGAGGTAAGGGTCGGGGCTTGCAGACCACATGCAGGTTCCTGCAGACCACGGGAAGGACTTTACTTTCCTTCGAAAGGGATGGGAGCCCTGGAAGGGTTGGCACAAAGGAGGGATGTGATCAGGTGTGTGCTCTAAAACAATCTATAGTTGCAGAATGTAAAACGAACATTAGGGAGGCAGAGATGGAGAACAGCAGTTCAGAGGCTGGTGCAGGCATTTAAATGAGAGATGGTGATGGATTGCAGCAGAGTGCTGACTGGGATGGGGAACTGGATTTCAAGAAACCTGTTGAAGAAATAACAGGTAGTAAAAATCATGAAGGAGACAGGCAAGAAAAGGAGACTATCGAAATTTGGTAGTGGATAAGGAACTTGAGCTTAGCAGCAGGCAGCCGTGTTTTCTTGGGAGAAGTGGCCTCCATTCTCTGAGCTGGTTTTGTCATCTGTAAAATGAAGGTGACAATGAAACGTATCTCATAGCGTTGTTGTTAGGGTGACATCAAGATTTTGGCACAGGATCTAGCACACAATAAATATTTAATAAATGCTATCCTAGGAGCCAGACAGATGACACTGTCATCAGATTTAACACTCTGTGCCTCTATTTACCCACAGAGGTAAAATGGGGCTATCATTAAGGTTGGTGTCATGAGGATTAAATAAATGAATACAAGTAGAAAAGCATTTCGAATAATGTGTACGCAGCAAGAACTGAATAAGAACCAATTATTATAAATATATTTAGCCATATTTCATTACATCCTCCCCCACTAGCATACGCCCACCCCATTCTGGGGCTGGGAAGTCTATGGTTTAGAACAAGGTGGCCTCTCCTCGAGGACGCAACACCCTCCCTGCTTGTAGCGCTCCTGCGAGCCTCCGTGGAAGATCCGACCCCAGCTTCGAAGGGCTGGGCCCCCCTGAGCCCCGCCCTTCCCTCCGGCCTCGGCCCCGCTCCGCCGCGCCCCTCCCTGACCACGCTCTGCCTGCAGGAACCTTGAAGTGCGCGCTCTGGTTTCCAGCCGGGCGCGTTCGCGCAGCTGCGCCGCTCTTCAGAGCTACTTCCGGTAGCATTACCCCCTTAACCCCGGGCGTCTCCATTTTGGCGGTGGGTGGAGAGGCGGCTAGGACGGCCGCATTATCGGTGCGGGGTCTTCAGTACTCCAAGGGCCTAGTCGGTTCAACGCACTTTCTCCTTTCCTTCCTCTGCCCGCAGAAGCCGGAGGCGCGCATGGCGGGCTTGGAGGTACTGTTCGCGTCGGTGGCGCCCGCGATCACCTGTGCGCAGGACGCGCTCATCTGCTTCCTGCACTGGGAGGTGGTGACGCACGGCTACTACGGCTTGGGGGTCGGCGATCAGGTACGCCTCGGAGTCAACTCGGAGCTAGGGTGAAGGGGCGAAGGTGTCTTTTGCCCAAACCCATAGGACCGCAGCCCTGGTCAAGAGTACCTAACCTTCCCTTCTCCCAACTCTAGGACCTGGGTTTCATGACACCATAGTCTGCGAGTTGGGGAGATAACTCTGCAGTCTCAGCTGAGCCCAAAGTTCCTCACAACACAGCTGGCACATACTTGAAAACCCACGGTCAGAAACTTGCTTTCAGCACAACCTGGCAGTCTCCGAGGTCAGGGTTGTGTGGACCTGGCACTGAGGCGAGTGTAGCTCGCCGTGCGCACTCCTCATCTATCTGAAGTGCCCAGCAAGCTCCTTCCCACCCAGTACTGCCCGCACACTGTCCTGGAGCCTCCACCAGATAACTGGACCCAAGCACGAGTATATAGGGGTGAGCTTTGACCTGCTCAGCCCCAGTCAGGGGCCCTTTCTTCACTCCCCAGCATGGCCGAGGGAATTCAGACACCCCTCATCCTCTGCAGCCTCTCTCCGCTGTCATCCCCAACTCGGGCTCTGGAAAGCAAGCACCTCCCACACATGCACACATACATCCTGGGTGTAAGGGCCAGGTAAGCTTTCCTCCCCACAGCTGCCCCTACAGAAGCAGCCCTCCTGCTCTCCCGTCCTCAGGCTCTGCCTCTGGGGGCTTTGTTGTCCTCCCCGCAGAGTCACAAAACTTATGGACCTGGCCTGCCTCACTGATTCTTTGCAGTAGCATTGCCCTGTCTTCCTGGCTGCTCCCCTGTGACTCATCCTACACATCCTCCTCCTGTGAGAACTGGGCCCGGGACCTTACTGCCCTTTTCCTTGCCTTCTACTCTGCCAGAAATAGCTTCCCTGCCACGCTTCCCACAGACACACACTCAGAACTCCAAGCCTGCCCTCCCTGTACTCTCCCTCTCAGAACCTAGACTGGCTCTGGGGAACAGGGCACCTTGCCCCTTGACACTAGTACTGAGATTTTCAGCCTTACTCTCATTTCTAACTGCTTCAGTTCTCCAGTTTCAGTTTCTCAGATGTACATCCAGAGTCTTAAACGTTTTCTCTTCTGCACAGAGCTTTAGGGGTCCTTCCTCAAAGATGGTTTATGCATCCTGAGCACTTAGAGGCAGGTCCTTCCCACATTCCTGGCCATCCCATTCCTCTGTCTCTTAGAACTAGGGACCCAGACCACCACACCCCTCTCACATTTTACCCCCACCAGCAGGAATCAGAAGCACAAGAACTGTCATGGGCGTCTGAGTCTTTTCCCCTCCAGACCTCAAGTTTCTCCCTGGGACCCCCGATACACACTGAGCATCCTCTGTTGCCACCTCTAGGCTCACACATACTTTGTGTGGACTCTAGGACTCTTGGAGAGAGGCTGGAAAAGCAGGGCCAGTCTGACACACACACACACACACACACACACACACACACACACACGAAGCAGGAACTGTTTCTCCCTCCCAAATGCATCTTTCTGGCCTGTCTGTTCACTATGCACTTCATCCCACTTACTTTGCCTTTCATCATTTCAGACCTTGGGACAAGGTACAGACAGAGTCCCCACTCTCAAGTGTCAGGCTCCCCTTTCCGTGGCTGGTCTCCCCAACAGAACCCGACGTCTCCTCGCCTGCCCCACTCCTGCATCTAATCTGTAACAGCTCGTTCAGTTGCCCCAATCATTTTATTTCAGTCTTGCCTGGGACGTTCTCTCAGGAATCCGACACGTATAGGTTGGTGCAGGATAACAGTGGGATGGGGGAGGGGAGTTAAGACTTGGTCCAAAACCTGGAGTTCCCCCATCAGCCTTCGCTCCCCTGACCCCTTGCCCTGTCTTTCAGATCTAACATGATTGCCGTTCTCTCGCCCTCCTCGTGTACGTTGCTCTCCTTATTGACTTCCAGCAGCTACTTCTTCTCAGACACAGTGTCAGAGCCTCCCTCCCCACAGCAGGTTTCTGTTCTCTTCTCCCCATTCCAAAGATACACATCACCTCTGCAGATCTGCCTCCACCACGCCTCCTCTCTCACGTCCTGTCAGCACTCCGAGTCGCTGACAGCTGAGGGACATTAGTTCATATAGGTCACTGCCTCGTGCCAGCCAGCATCATCCCCCTGCCATACACTCTAGACCCAAAAATGGCCAGGTGAAATGTGCAGAAAGAATATGACCTCACTTTGATACTGATTTTAAAAGTAAATAAAAGGTCCTTAATTCCCAAAGGTCCATCTAATTCCACTCTGTTCCTGGTGCCGTGTGCTGAGTTCATGCAGAGAACGGTGCTGTCTCCACTCATGACAGGGGAGACAGGGAATGAGGGTTTTGAAAGGCTTTGCCCACTGTTTGGATGGCTGCCCCCCGGGCTGGATCACGCATGCCCTTTGAGGGGATGGGTGTTTGTATTGCATGCTAGAGAGTATTTTTGTTGCTCTTCTCCCTTTTATTTTAAGTGTCATTGGAACTCAGGTTGCAGTTGTCCTCCTCTCACTTCTGCTGAGTCTGCTTTCATTCAAAGTGGAAGCCCTTTGGAGAAGCATCTTTCCTGTTAATTTATTCAGGAGAGGGTTTAATTTTCTGGCCTGGGACCAGAAGACTCAGCAAGACCAGTGGGATCTGCCAGACTCAGAGGGTGTGTATATTGCCTCTCCAGCCACCTCCTGCTCCCCACCCTTCTGGGGCGATAACAGGCAGAGGAACCCCCCCCAGAAGTGTGCGTGTACTTGATTATATATTGGCAGTTAAGTAAAAAGCTACACCGCCTCCTTTTCTCTGTGGTTTTGTCTCCTTTGGTACTGGGGAACTGTGTGCGTAGTACTTGGTTAGGAAAGCAGCACGTTCATGGCTTCAATAAAAAACCAACGTTTGAGTTTGGATTTCTTTTCTTAAAGTCCACACCTCGCCTCATAAGAGCTTTAGGGCTGTGTCAAGTGGTTTACGTGGCAGGGGGCTAGCGATGACCAGAGACTTAAGTTAGAGAATTTTGTTTTCTGTTGTGGGAAACTTAGGATTAGTAGGAAAGAGAGATAATGTCCTGAATGGTGTGCTCGAGTTTTTTTGGGTGCATTTGAGCCCAGAGGCACTGGGATGAACTCGAGTGCTTCCAGCCCCAGGAGTTTGCCCAAGGGGACAGCCGTAGCTACTTTCTTGGAGCCAGTCTGGAGGACCTGGCTGAGGAAAAGTCTTCTCTGTAGGGGGGCAGCCAGGAGTTCTGAGTGCCAATCCAGCTCTGCACCTGCCTTATGGTGACTTTGGGCAATTCTCAGTCCCTCCCAGCCTCCTCCTTTACAGTTTTCACCCGAGGGAGTTACACGCCACTGCTGCACTTTGGCCCCCTTCCAATCGCAGCTTCCTGGGAGGCCTGATACTCGATGTCAGGGCCTAGAGGACAGTTTAGTGCCACGTTTGGCCTGATATCACCAGGCCCAGTCATCTCTGTCCCCCCACCCACATTTCCCCCACATCAGGCCAGCCCTTGGGCTGGGGAACATCGGGTCCGCTCCTGGGAGAGGCATTGTCCTCACCTGGCCCCACAATTTTGCTTTGTTCCAGAAGCCAGGGGTTGTGGGATAATGAGCAGACCAAATTCTGTGTATGCTGATGGGAAGCTGAAGATGGAGAATATAAATGCAAAGGCCCTTAACAGAACAAAGACAGGCATATTATCAGATTCTTGGCTTCCATAATTTAGATCCACGACACTAAATCCACAACACGAATGTTTAAATCCATGACACTAAATGTGTTAACAGGAGATTTACCCACCTGGGGTGAAAGGCGTTTCCCCTTCTCAGGTAGCTAGTGGTTTGATCAGTTTCACTTTTTGTCGTTGTCACTCTGATTTTCCTGCTCAGGCCTGTGAGCTTCCTTGTCACCCAGCCAGGTTTCAGACCGTGCCCATTGCAACATCTTGGATTTTATTCCCCTTTCCCCATTGGATGCCTGAGTACCAGGGCTGACCAAAAAGGACAGCCCCTCGATTCTCCACTCTTGGTCTCCAGCTGTCCGTGGGGCGTTGAAGGCCTGCACTGCTGGACCTTTGTCTTTTGTCCTTGTTCTTCGTCTTTGGTCCCACTCTCTCCCACTGTATTCTCATGAACGCAGATCTTCGCAGTCCACCTTCTCCATGTTTAGCTGTATAAATATGCATCCATGAAAAAAATAAGTTTTTGTGCGTTTTTAAAAAGTTTTACATGTCACCCGGCTATAAATTTTATTTTTTAACTTTTGTCATATATATTTTTAAGCTTTTTATCTTAATGCCACAATTACATCTAGTTTGTTCCTTCTCACTGCTATATCATGTTCTTTGTGAACGTATTTTTCATTTCACCTCCACCTTGGTGATGAAGATTCTTGGTCTTGTCCCCTGTGCCTCTGTGCACAGGGTTTCTTCCAGGAGGGGAGGTTCGGGCTCGTGGCATGTCTGCTCCCCTCATGGCACTAAGTACTGCCAGACTGCCCTCCACCGTCGCTGGGAGAGTTTAAGCGGCCACCAGCAAGCAGTGTCTGGAGGTTCTCATTCTTCCCACACCTCCGCAAAAAGCCGGCAGAACAGGAGTCTGACCTGAGATCTTGTTATTTCAGCCTGTGCTTCTCTGCATGCTGGTCAAGTTGACAGTCCTTTGTACACTATTAGCGGTTCTTTTGCTTGTTCGTATCTTTTGCCGGTTTTTCAAGTAGGTTCACAACTACTTTCCAAGCATCCTGTTTATGTGCTAATTATTAATTCTCTTCACTTGTAGCCATGGCGATCTTTCATCCCAGTATTAACTGTGTGTGTCTAATGCTGAAGAGAATCCGTAAATCATGAACCATCTCAAGACAGCACCGTTTTTCTTTGTCAGTCATCTTTAAGAAATCTTTCTCCACCTGGAAGTCACTGTTAGCTCTTTCTGTAAGAATAGTCTGAGGACTGTGTTTCAAACTTCAGTGTATAAAAGGAAAGTCATAGCATTACTAAACAAAGAAAAGGAAGGAAGCCATCACAACTCAGCAATGCATTTTTATGCCCAGCAGGTGGGCAGAAATGGATAAAGGGTGCAACAGCAGTGTTGCCACCTCTGTGGAACAACACGAACTCTTACACATTGCCTGTGGGAGTGTAATTCAGTGCCTCTCTGGAAAACAGTTTCGCTTTACCTTATAAATGACAAGTTCTTCCCCCAGACACACTGTATAGGAATGTATCCACATGCGTACTAGGAGACGTGCACAAGTGCACAAGAATGCCCACAGCGGCCTTTATAATGGCTAAGCAGATAGACTGTGCACACTCCAAACATCTACCAGCAAGTGGAGGGAGAACGGCAGCCTCTCCGTCTCCATACGGTGGGATCCATGCGGCTCAGTGGGATCCATGCGGCTGTGAGCCGTACGCCAGGGGGAGGCTGTTGAGTGGATCCACTGTAGTTAAATGCAGTGACGGGGATGAATCTCAAAACACTTTCAAATGTGGCAAGTGGTAAGAGTAATGCAATTTACATAAAATTCAAAACATTTGAAACAATTTCTTTTTAGAAAAGGAAAGAAACTTTTAGAAATACAGTATTAATTACCCAGGGGCGAGCTTCTTTGGGGCTGTGATCAAGGAGGCAGCAGTGTTGATACTCTGTTTCTTTAGCTGGCAGTGGGGCTCTGATCAAGGAGGCAGCAGTGTTGATACTCTGTTTCTTTAGCTGGCGGTGGGTACATAGGTGTCCATTCCATAATTCTCTTTATGTTGTACACATGCTACATCTCGTGTGTGTGAAACTGTTCGTAGTTTTTGTTAAACCACCACAATAGTGTGGACGGGGTGGGGCATCAGAATCCGTATTTTTAGTGAGCACTTTGGTGATCCTGTTGTAGCCCCAAGTTCCAAACTTTGAAAAACACTACCTTAGAAGTTCGAAGTAACCCTGGAGATGACCTGCCTTATTCTTGGTGGGGGTGGTGAGGAGATTAATATCGAAGCAAGGCCACCGATTCTTGACAGGTCCCGGGGCTGTGTGATGTAGGCGGTCAGAGATGAGAGGGGAGCAGGAGCGGGAGTCCAGAGCCCCGGGTCCCAGACCTCTAACTTTCTGTAGGGCCTCGGACATTTTATTTCTCCTGACCCCTATGACCTCATCTGTGAAGCGGGTGGTGGCCTTAGATTGTCTGTAAGGTCCTTTATAGCTGTGATCTGAAGTCATGACCTTCTTCTCAACCCTGGTGTCTTCTCAGCCGGGTCCCAGTGACAAGAAATCAGAACTGCTCCCCGCCGAGTGGAACAGCAACAAAGACCTGTACACCCTCCGGTACGAGTCCAAGGACGGGGCCCGGAGGCTCCTCGTGAAGGCCATCACCGTGGAGAGCAGCATGATCGTCAACGTGCTGGTGAGTCCCCGAGGCCTGGAGGGGCTGCCCGTGGGCGTGGATGTTGGGGTCGTGTGTTTGAAACCCGTTTACTGTGCGGGCGCAGAGCCCTAAGTGTTTGTGGGGCCTTTACCCAGCGATCCTACTTCTGGAACTTTCCCTAAATATAGAAAGGCTTGTGCTCACCTGGTCTTGTGAGGGGGGAACTTTCCGTCACAGGGGGATGGTTAAGTAAATGAAGATAAATCCATTTGGTGAGGACGCGGGAGGAAGAAACTCACTGTAGCCACAGGGGGCTGCTTTTAGTTCTTTTTTTTTTTTCTCTCACCCAAGGACATGCTTAATGATTTTATAGAGGGGAAGGGAGGGGGAGAGAGAGAGAAAGAGAAACATCAATCCTGTTGCCTCTCACATGTTGCCTCCAGTACATACCCCGACCAGGGACCGAACCTGCAACCTTCAGGTTTATCAGATGACGTTCCAACCGAGTGAGCCACATCAGCCCCGGCTACTTTTAGTTCTTTAGTTCTTTAGCTCTCTGCTGCCTTAGCTTGGAGCCTTCACACTTCTTGTTTCCTGTGCTGGAAAGGAGGGTGCCACACACACGCATACCCTTCGTCCTTTCTTTAGCCAGGACTGCTCCCTCATTTGTCACTTCCTCAAAAGGCTCAGTCCTGACTACCTCCTCTCACTTATCAGAAAAGTCTGAATTGTCCCTCTCTCCTTCATCACTTCATTTTCCTGCCTGGTGCCACAGTGTATAATTATGTACTCGTTTACGCTTTGGGTTGATGTCTGTGCTCTGTCACTGGACGGTTAGTGCCACGAGGGCAGTGGTGTTCTTTTCGTTGGTCTGTGATCTGGTTGCCCATGTGTGTTCGTACAAAAGCGTTAATACGGCCTGTGTCGTACTATGCCCGGCTCCTCTCCCTCAGTACGTTTTGGGAGTCTTTGCACGGGAATGCACACAGGTGCACCTCATTGGCTTACCGCGCCGTGTTCCACAGCACCGTGACTTGTTTATTCCTCTCCCTTCGGATGCACCCTTAGATCTCGTATCAGACAAGGACTTAGTTACAGACAACAGACTCCTGTCAGGTTGGTTTAAACATATCAGCTTTACTAAAGAATTGTGGTAGCTCGTTGAATTGTTGGAAGGGCTGGAAAATGGGTTCACATCTGGGCTCCAGGATGGCGCCCCAAACCATGCCAAGGAAACTGGTGCTGGTGCCACCACACTGGGTACCAGGAGCAGCGCCTTCTTCCCTGTGTCACCCACCTCTGAGTTGAACTTGTGCATCCATGCCTGTAACTGAGCCCAGGAAGCAGGTTTTCCGGGCTCTGTCTCAGAAGAACAACGATATTCCTGAGTCAGAGAAGGCCCCAGGCGTGGGAAGGGTATTTCCTGTATCACACACAGGCCTTGTATTTGTTTCCTGGTGCACATGTGTGTTTCTTTGGCCCAGAGGTATTCCCAGTCTCTCACTTTTTATTTTTATTTTTCTAGGAATACGGCTCAGAGCAAGTGTCAGACTTGACGCTCAACTTGGATGATTATATCGATTCAGAACACCTGACCGACTTCCACAGGTACTTCTAAATGACAGTTTTCCTGGGGGGGCACAAGGAGACCCAGCAGCCAGATGTAAGGAACAGGATGGAGGTAGCTAGAGAATTAAGGAAGGTCGGCAGAGGGGTCTGTCACTCCTGGGCAGTCACTTCTCAGTTCTCTTCCTGGTTTCAGTTTACTTGGAGAGGGGACTCACAGGGGCAGTGCCAGGTGGGATCAAATCATGCAGTACGGGGTCCGCATGTGCCGTCCTGGCTGTGGAGCAGGGACAGGGCTGGGTCAGTGGAGCCCATCAAGGTAGGCGCCTGGAAGAGCAGTGTCCCTAATCAGGTCTCCCCTTCACCCCCAGCTTTTTTTGGATAGATTGCTTTTTAGAGCAGTTTTAGGTTCACGGCAAAATTGAGCGGCAAGTGCAGAATTCCCGTGGACCTCCTGCCCTCCTCCCCGAAAACGCACACACAGAGCCCCCTTCCCTGGCCGCACCCCTCACCAGAGCGGTGCACTTCTGGAGGTGGATGGACCTGCACTGACGACATTATCTCTCCAGGGGCCACTCTCGGTGGTGGCAGAGTGTGTTCAGGTTTGTCAGAAACTGCCAGACAAACCGCCTTCCTGAGCGGCCGCTCCGCTGTACACTCCCGCTGGCGTGAGTGCGGGTCTCTGTTGCTCCGCGTCCCTGTTGGCGTTTGTCGGGACCGGCATCTCAGGTTCTAATGGGCGTGCGGTGACTGTGTTGTCACTCGCAGTTCCCCGACGACAGGCGGTGTCGAGCCTCGTGCTTGTTTGCCCTCTGTGTCTGAGGCAGTTGTTCTGGTCTTCGGCCCATTTCTTGTTTTTGTATTGTTGGGTTTTAGGAATTTTTTTGTATATTTTTGATAACTGTCCTTTTTCAAGGATGTGTCTTATAAATATTTTTTCCTAGTCTTGCTTGTGTTCCCATCCTCTTGAATTTTTATTTTGAACTTTGCAACTCCACAGGAAACAATGGTTTGCAAAAATACTACAGTGAATGCCCCTATACCCATTGCCTAGAGTTACCAGTTTTTTAAACATTTTGCCATATTTGCTTAATTTTTATATGCTGTTTTGTTCAACCATTTGAGATTTCCAGACTTTATGAGGCTTAGCCCCTAAATATTTTAACATTTATCTCCTGCATTACAAGGGTATTCTCCTGCATAATCTTAATGCAGGTATCACAGAGAAATGTACCGTTGACACAGTAGCAGCATTTGATGAGCGGCTCACGGTCAGACCGCTGCAGCCATCACAGCGGTGCCCTTTTTAGCGAGCTAGTCTTTTGGTTTTGGGTTTGAGGGTTTTTTCCTTACCCAGCCAAGATCACACATGTATTGTTTGTCTCTTTAATTACCTTTAACCTAGAACTGTTTCATAGACTTTTTTTCTAGTGGCATTGGTATTTTTGAAGGCTTGAGATCAGTTGTTGGGTGGGGTGTTCAGATTTTTTCCTCAAGGTCGGGTCTGTCGGGTGGTTTCCTCATTTTTTGACGTAGGTTGAACATTTCTGACGAGAACACTGTGCAGTCGAGGCCATGTTCTCAGTGTCTCCCAGCAGGCGTGTGATGCCCGTCTCACAGTGGGTCTGCCTCAGTCTGACCCCTTGGCCGTGACCGTGTCTGCCAGCCTTCTCCGTAGTAAACACGTTTGTTTGCCCGTGTGTTTAGTAAGTGAGGTGTGGGACTCTGCAGGCAGACTGAGTAATGACTTCCTGGTGGTCTTCCGCCCAGTGCTTTTAACAGCTACCGATGATTCTCGCCTGAATCAATTATTATTGGGATGATGATAAAACTGTAATATGCTCTGTTTATTTATTTTTCTTTCTGTATTTATTAGCATTTCTAAGAAAGATGTTCTGTTCTTCATTTATTTTTAATTTTTAAAATATCAGTAAGACTCACGGACTCCTTTTTCATTTGGCGTTATAATCCATCTCTGCCACTCTTTGAATGCTCGTTGTTCCAGAGTTGACCGGTGGGAACCCTTCAAGCTGCCACTTTGTCCTTTTGGCAAGTCCTTGTCCTCAGAGCGTTTTCACACTTTCTGGCACGAAAAGATATTCTAGCCTCGCCTTGCACTTTCCTCGGCCCTACTTTGAAACCAGCCATTTTTCTAAGGAACCTCATGGTTCGTAGGGAATATTACTCCAGAATCAAAGTCTGCCCCTGGATGTGTTCATTAAGACCAAGGACATCACTGCTTCCAGGCCTTGTCAGGGATAGAGCTAGGAGACTCTTTCCTTAGAGTTTGTTTTTTAAAAATTTCAAACTGATACTTGTATTTATTATGTAATCCCACAGGATTCTTAATCTTAGTCCATCCTTGTATCTCCCTTCCTCCGTGAGAATTCTGATGTCCAGTGGCATCAATATATTTACTTATTTGCTTGATCCTAAAATACACAGAAGTAGATTCTGAACTGCTTCATCAGTACTTACCAAGAACAGATCTACTAAGTAAAGTTTCAAATATTGTTCTTTCCAGGTCTTTTTGCCCTTTGACTGTGGCCTGCTGAGGATGTATGTAGTCAATAGTGTTGCATTCAAAAGGTACTTAGGTTAATGCTTGTTTTTCCAGTGTAATAAAACTTCCTGTTTGATACATAGTTTGTCCCTGTTATTTCCCCTTTATTCCGTTTTAGGGACTTTTTCCCCATCCCTGTGACCTCCTCCAGGTTTTGGAGGAAGCCCGGCCTTACTCTAAGTTCGCAGTCATCAGAACTGCCTGGAAACCCCGTTAGGTTCAGTTGTCTGTAATCAGCAGTGACCGTTTTGCACCTACTCCCCCCTTCTCAGACTCCCAAAGCACCTACCTCCACATTCCGCCCCCCCATGCCCCTCCCCTCTTCGGGGCAAGCACATGCGAGGCGATCCCAGCTGCACTCCTGGCTTGCCGCCCTCCTGTCGGTCTCCCACACGGTGGTGGTCCAGCGTGTTTAAAACATAGATCTGATCGTGGGTAAAACCCCTCGCTTGAAATCCTTTGGTGAAATCCTCCACACGTTAGGATGGCTACTATTAGAAAAAAGGTGGGTTTTTTTAAGAAAATAAGTGTTAGTGAGAATGTGGAGAATTTGGAACCCTTGTTCGCTGTTGGTGGGAATGTAAAGTGACGCAGCCACTACAGAAAGTGGTTCCTCAGAAAATGACCATGTGACCTAGCAGTCCCACTCCGGAGCGTGCACCTGGAATTGACAGCGGGGTGTTGAAGAGGTGCTTGCACATCCACGTTCATTATTATTAATGAAGCATTATTCATACCAGCCAAGAGGTGGGAGCAGCGCAGGTACCATGCACAGCAAGGACGGATGAGTGGGGGGAGCAAATGTGTGTGTGTTCAGTGGAGCCCTGCTCAGCGTTTAGAAAGGAAGGAAGGTTTCAGCGAGAATCTGGAACTCATGATTCAACATGAGTCACTGAGGGTGTGCTCAGTGAAGTGAGCCCGTCACAGGCAGACAGATGCTGCACGACGCCACTCACACAATTGACCTAGAGAAGTCAAAGTCGTGCAGACAGAAAATAGAGGAACCAGTCGTTGCCAGGGGCTGGGAGAGGGGAGAAGGAGTTGGTGGTTCACAGGCACCGAGTTAGGTCAGTTTTGCAGGACGAGGAGACGCTGAAGACGGAAGGTGCTGGTGATCGCACCGTCCTGTGAGTGTGCTTAATGCTGCTGATTTATACACTCAGAATCCCACACTGAGACTGTTTTAAACATTTCTAGTTAGAAACAAAAACAGAACCCTTCAGTGAATTTTCTTTTTTCTTCTCTGAAGATAAAGAACGAAATCTTTGATGAGGCCTAAAGCTTGGCTCCCGGCCGTTCAGCCTCATCCTGTGCTCCTTTCCCGTGTCTCAGCCGTGGTGCCCGCCTCTCTTCAGGGGCGCTGCCCCTGAATAATTATAAATGATTAATTTATAGTTAGATGCTTGTGTTTTTCTGCATTATAAAGGAATTTTAGCATGTATTTTTAAACATATTCTGTCATAAGAAGTTTTATGTGACAAATAATTACAAAAATACAACAACAGGTACTACCCATGTATAATATATATCCTTATTTTTCCCCAAAAAATTTGGGCAAAAATACGTGTTATACTATGGTAATAAGTGAGTATTTTATGATTAACTTCTTTGAGTTGGTCTCCCCTACTAGTGTATGATCTCCTTGGAGGCAGGCCCCGGGTCTGTTTTGCATGTAGTAGACAAAGTGAGGTGAGGCCAGACTGGTCCTGGCAGAGCTGCTGTGCTGGGTGCTGCCCACACTGTGACCCCATCGCACCCCTTAAGATAAGGGAAGGGCATGATGAGTGTGCACTCTCTCTTGACTTCTCTGTTCTGGAATTCCACTGAGAGAGAAATGGACAGAACTTGCGGAAGAACCTGGGCCTGTGTTATGCTGTTAATGCACATTAGAGCATTTAGTTGCCTCAGCAATACTGAGAAGCGGTGTTAATGTTGCCATCTATTTATTTTTAAACCCATTTGTTGCTGGGGTTTGTGTGTAGGTGGTGTATTGTTGACCACTGTGACATGAGGCACACGGTGGTACTATTTCGGTAGGAGTATTTCAGGGTGTTGTTCTGGGAGCGAAATGAGCTGTCTGCACAGAGTACTTAGCGCTGGGCCCAAGCTCTCAGTAAACACACAGGGAAAAAATTCTAATCACTAGGAATCATCTCCATGGCAACCGAGGCTGTGAGAGCTGGGGTAGGACCTGCTTCCTGATCACACCTCCCTCTTCTGCCTCAGCAGTGCCGAGCTGCCTGCCCCCAGTCACCTTCCCTCGGGTGGCCCTCCCTGTTATGTCGTCATGGCCGTCATGGCACGTCTGGTCTGTTTCGGGTAGTTATTTGTGTCCCTTGGTGAGCAAGCTGCAATTTGCCAAGGAGTGTGAACCGTTTCTTTCTGCCGTGCCCTTTCTGTATTAGGCAGGATGACAAGCTGTCTTCTGCTACCACCAAAATTGCAGTTCTGCTGAGACGCAGAAATTGTGTGAGAACGCCTCTCGGTCGTTTTTGAATCAGACTTGAGTTCTACAGGTGAATGACTTACATAGGGAGACCAGAGGTCTTCCAAGTGCATCACACAGCGGTTTGTCTGATTGGAAAGGAAACAGGAGTGGATTTATTTATCCCCTCCAACCCCTGTGGTTGGGAGAGCAGCAGAGTCCCTAAGTTCTGCATTCTAAGTAGAAATCTGTTCTTTGTAGGAATGAATGGACCACAGGCCCCTAGCACCTTCAGGCCACCACAGGTATTACCATTTTCTAACCCTGGGGCTCCTCCTTCAAGCACAGTGCTCTCAGGATTGATACTAAGCCGGTTGGAGTAGAATTGCTCTGGTGGAAAAGTTGGGAGCAGGAATTGGAGGTCCCAGTGCCCCATCCACTTGGCTTTCTCTCTTGCCCTCCTGGGCCCCCTTCCGAGCTAAAGAAGATCTAAAACCACTGATCCAGTCTCACCTCGGATTATGTTATGGTTACGTAATGTATTTTTAATTAAACTTCTGATTTCAATTGTAGACTCATATTCAACTGTAAGAAGTAATACAGAGAGACTCTTTGTATCCTTTATGTATTTTACCTCAATGATAACATTGTGTGAAATACACTAACGCATACAATCAGGATTTGACATTGGTACAATGACACAAACCATTCCATCACCACCAGGAGCCACACTCTCTCTCCTTCCCCATCCCTAACTTCCTGGCAACCATTATTCATTCTTCATTTCTAAAATTCTGTCATTTCAAAAATGTATAAATGGAATTACACAGGATGTAAGTTTTGGGGATTGGCCTTTCTCACTCAGCATAGTACGGTTGTGATCCATCTCAGTTGCTGCCTGCACCTGTTCCTTTGGGTTGCTGAGTGGTAGTATTTCATGGGATGTTTATCCATTCATTAGTTAGACAGTATCCGAGTTATTTCCAGTTTTTTGCTATTGTGAATAAAGGTGCTATGAACATCTCTGTACAGGCTTTTGTGTGGTCATAATTTTCACTTCTCAATAAATGCCCAAGAGCACAATGGTCATTGCGTATTTAGTTTTAAAGTAGTTGCTGAGCGCTTTTCCAGGGAGCCCATGCCAGTTTGCATGTCCACGCCCGTGTCCGAGTGGTGCGGTGTCTGCACCGCCACCGACATTGGTGTTGTTGCCGTTCTTCATTTGAGTTATTCTGATTGGTGGTAGTGGCAGTTCCTTGTGGTTTTAGTTTGCGTTTCCCTAGTGGCTGACGACGTTGAGAATCTTGTCATGTGTACATGTACCATCTGCGTATCTTCTTCGCCAAAATGTCTTTTTGTGTCTTTTGTTCATTTTTTAATTGGATTTTTTTTTTTTACTGTTGTAATTTTGAGAGTTCCTTACACATAAATTTCAGCTACAAGGCCTTTGATGGATGGTGGTTTAGAAATACTTTCTTTTGGACTGTGATTTTTTTCTTTCTCTTTCCATCATCTTTTGCAAAACAAAAGTTTTGAATTTTGGTATCTATTTAACCAGTTTTTGCTTTTAGTCTCAAGTGTAAGAACTCTTTGCGTTAGCCCTAGATTCCCAAATAGTTTCTCCTATGTTTTTTCTAAACATTTTATAGTTTTGTTTTGCATTGCAGTGATTTGCCCTGGCAGATGTGGCTCGGCTGGAACATTGTCTCATGAACCAAAAGGTCTCGGGTTCGATTCCTGGTCTGGGCAGGTTCAGTCCCCAGTTGGGGCACAATAGGAGGGAGGTAACCTATCGATGTTTCTCTCTCACATCAGTGTTTCGCTCCCTGTCTCCTTCCCTCTCTTCCCATTTCTGTAAGAGCTATGAAAAAGGGTCCTAGGGTGAGGCTAAAAAAAGAAAAATTTAAGTAAAGTCTCAGATTTATTTTAAATTAATTTTTGTATAAGATGTGAGGTTTAGGTAGAGATTCATTTTCTTGCCTGTGGATATCTAGTTGCTTCAACAGACATCCTGTCTAGTTGCTTTTGTTCTTTTATTGAATTGCTTTTGCAGCTTTGTCAGAAATCAGTTACTTGTACTTGTGTGGGGCTAGTTCTATGTTCTCTGTTTTCCAGTGAGCTTTGTGCGTGTCCCTCTGCCGCTCCCACACAGTACGGGTTATTGTAGATACTGATTGTAGAAATTGTAGATAATGATATCTGTAGATACTGATTGTAGATATTATTTGTAGATACTGACTGTAGATATTGTAGATACTGATTACTTGTAGATACAAAATTAAGTAGTCCTTAATTTTGAGTAGAATGATTCCTCCCATTCACTTCCTGTCAAGATAGTTTCAGTTACCCTAGGGACTGTGTCTTTCTGTATAAACTTTAGAATAGGTCTGTGTCTATTTAAAAAAGCTGCTGGGATTTTGGTAGGACTTGCATTAAACCTGTAGTGGGGAAACTTGACACTTTTACTGTGAATATGGTATGTCTCCATTTATTTAGGTCTTAATTTGGTTTCTTTCATCATGGCTTTGTAATTTTTCTGTAATTTTTCATCATTGCTTCTGTAATTTTCAACACAGAATCTGAACATGTTTCAGTTGTTTCTTTTGGGTGATTATACACGGTGTTCTGCTGTTAGATTGGATTTTCAGGTGTTCACTGTTGGTGTGTAGAGAAGCTGTTTTTGCTGTGTGCTGATCGTGTGCCCTGCCTTGCATATCGGACACTCAGTGAACGCAGTATTGGCGTCTTTTGTAGATTCCTTGAGAATTTTGAAGTAGACTGTCGTGTCATCTGCAAATGGGGCAGTTTTGTTCCTTGTTTGCTAACCTGTGTGCTCTTTCTTTCCTCACTGAAGTGGCCAGAACTTCCAGCATCAAGCCGAATAGGAGAGGCAGGAGAGAAGGTTCTCACCTTGTTCTCCGTCAGCGTATTCAGCCTGTCCTGGTCAAGTATATTGTTTGCCGTGGGCTTTTTCATGGGTGCTCTATCAAATTGAGGAAGTCCTCTTTTCCTAGTTTATTGAGAGGTTTGCTTTTTTTTTAAATCATGAATTATGGTAGATTTTATCAAATTCTTTTTTTGCATCAATTGATATAATTATTTGAGTTTTCTTAGCTTATTGATGGTAAACATTTATGGATATTGAACTAGCCTTGCATACTTACAGTAAATCCTGTGGTGCATGATTCTTTTTATATTTTTTAAATTCAATTTGTTGGTATTTTGTCGAGCGTTTTTGCACCCAAATTCATAGGTAATACTGGTCAGTACTTTTCTTTTTTTGTATTCATTATCTTATTTTGATACCAGGGTAATAGTGGCCTCAGAAAATGAGTTGGAAAATGATTCCTCCTTGTGTATTTTCTGGAAGTGACTATAAATTGATGTTATTTTTTATGTTAATTTTTAAAAAATGTTTGGTAGAATTCTCCTTGGAAAATAATCTGGAGATTCCTTTTTTGGAGTGCATACTATGAGTTTAGTTACTGTAATAGAACCAGGCTGCACGGTCGCAGTGTGTGGTTGCTGAGGACCCGGCCGCTGACCTCGGCGCTGTTGTGCCGCCCCCTTTCGTTCTGGGTGTAGGTGGTTCGTATCCTCTCTCTTTTTTTTTTGACAGTCTTGCTACGAGTTTATCAATTTTACTCACTTTTTGGAAGAACCAGCTTTTCAATTAATTTTTTCTATTATTTTCCTGTTTTATTGATTTCTGTTCTTTATAATTTCTTTATTTCTGCCTGCTTTGCGTTTAATTTGCTCTTCTTTTTCTAGGCTCTTCGGTCAGAATTTTTATTATTATTTTTTCCTCTTTTCCAATGTAAGCATTTGATGCTGTGAAGTTTCCTCTCAACACTGCTTTGCTATATATCCCACATTTTCTTTTGTTGTATCTTTATTTTTGTTCAGTGTTTTCTATTTTTTTCAAGACTTCCTCTTTGAGTCATGGATTATCCAGACTTACGCTGCTTACTTTCCACATGTTTAGAGATTTCCCTTCTGTGTTCATGGAACCATACGTCTGGTCAGAGAACGTATATGATTTCAGTTTTTACGTTGCTTTTTCTGTGAGGTTTGCTTTTTGACTCAGGATATGGCTCATTTTAAAACACCCGATTTTTAGCACTCTGTAGAGGGCTTCCCACTCCCCCTTACCTCAGTCGGCCTCCGAACCTCATCTGCAGCTCACACTGTCGTCTCTTGCAGGCAGAGAACAGAGGCCCAGAGCAGCCTTCCGAGGGCCCCCGAGTTGGTGGCAGAGCCACCCCTTGAGCCCCCAGAGCTCTGCTCACCTGGACCAGGAACCTAGTTCATTCTCCCCACCGAGGCTTTGCCTTTTCATGACCCTTCCCATGACACATGGTGAACACACAGTTGAGGGTGGGGCGGGGTAGGGCGGGTCCAGAGGAGTAGCCGTTCCAGGCCCTGTGCCCCTACACTCTCACCTCTTTCTAATGGGGTGGCGAATGAGGAGGGGCGACTCAGATGCCTAGGAAGCTCAGGCTCAAATCTCGGAGACAACGCCGGGCTGTTCCCCCCCTCACGCAGGCCCGCTGGACGGCCCATTCCCACCCTTGCAAACGGTCTAAGCGTAACACCAAGAGCTGTCGAGGCCACCGCAGCCACCAAAACACTGCATGCAGGGTTGCCATCCAGCGGCAAGCAGTTGACACCTCGTCTACTTCCTGTAGGACCTACAAGAACAGTGAGGAGCTTCGGTCTCGTATTGTGTCTGGAATCATCACCCCTATCCATGAGCGCTGGAACAAGGCTAGTGCAAACAGTCTCCACCGAGAGCTTCCCCCGGCTACTCCCGAAGAGGTGGACCCACTACGGATTTACCCACAGCGCCCGCAGCACCCACAAACTAGCCGGCAGCCTTCCTGGTGAGTACAGAGCCCCGAGTGGGCAGCCCGTGCTCCTGCCGAAGGACTCCAGCCATGTCCCTCCTGCTACTTGACCCCCTCACTGCCTGCTACGTGTCTTCAACAGAATCGTCAGTCTTAGTGTGTGGAGATAGGAAATGGAGACATCAGTAGAGCAGTGAATTCTGCTGCTGCTACTAGTCACCCTAACTACCTAGCATCTTAAGGCCACCTATCCCCTTTCTGGAGTTCACGAGAAGCCTCTGAGTCAGCCCAAACATCAGTGCCCATGGGGATTGTGTACAATACTTATAGGTGGCTGCCCGGGTGATTCACTTATTTATTCTAGAGCTTGGTGTATGCAGGGCCCTGGACAGGCCCAAAGAGGAAAGTGAAGAGATGCAGAGAAGATGTTGTCCTGGTGTCTTGCCCTTTTCATTCTATTGTAGTCCCCTGACCTCTTTTGACAACTTCACAACTTTCCCAAAACAGCGTTGGGTATGACCAAATCATGTCCAAGATCTTTGTGGGTGAGGATAGTAGCGTTTGGGGCTGGAGACTCCTGTCCCAAGGGAGGAGAAGGACCAGCAGACCTCAGTCTCTGCTGAGGCGGCGCTTCCCGACTTGGACCCCACGGTGTGGTGGTGATGCTGGGGCTGCGGGGAGGGCCGCTTGGGCCATAGTAAGCACTCTGTACGTGTTACCTGCCATTATTATTTCATTCTGACTGGTAATTATATACCTTTGGTTAGCTTTTAAGAGGAAATTGATTTAATATTACAATAAGTAATAATTGGCAATCTCTTTGGCAGTCTTCAGAAATATGGGTCCAGTGGCAGAGTAGAGAATAATAAAAAGTGGTTGAAAGGTTGGAACTACTTGTTTGGTCTAACATTCTGATTTTACAGACAGTCTGACCTTCCTTAAGCCATGAGCCCAATAAAGAGACTGAGCCAAGGCTGGGGTCCAGGTGTCCTCACACCCAGGACAGTGCTCTGTCTGTGATGTAACCAGAACACGGGGGGCAAGATTTAAGAATAAACAGTCAAATTGGAGGAGGTTTTTAAATATATTTTATTGATTATGCCATTACAGTTGTCCCATCTCCCCCTTCATTCCCCTCCACCCTGCACACCCCCTGACCCCCATTCCCCCCCTTTCGTTCATGTCCATGTGTCACAAGTTCTTTAGCTTCTACATTTCCTACACTACTCTTGCCCTCCCCCATCTATTTTCTACCTACTGTCTGTGCTACTTATTCTCTGTATCTTCTCTCCCTCTCTCCTTGTCCCCTGTTACTAACCCTCCATGTGATCTCTATTTCTGTGGCTCCGCTCCTGATCTAGCTGTCCTCTTAGTTTGCTTTTGTTTTAGGTGTGGTTGTTAATAATTGTGAGTTTGCTCTCTTTGTGCTATACATGTCTATTATCCTCTTTTTCTTAGATAAGTCCCTTTAATATTTCATATAATAAGGGCTTGGTGGTGATGAACTCCTTGAACTTGACCTTATCCGAGAAGCACTTTATCTGTCCTTCCATTCTAAATGAAAGCTTTGCTGGATAGAGCAATCTTGGATCTAAGTCCTTGCTTTTCATGAGTCGGAATACTTCTTTCCATCCCCTTCTTGCCTGAAAGGTCTCTTTTGAGAAATCAGCTGACAGTCTGATGGGAACTCCTTTGTAGGTGACTGTCCCCTTATCTCTTGCTGCTTCTAGAATTCTCTCTTTCATTTTAATCTTGGGTAATGTAATAATGGTGTGCCTTGGTGTGTTCCTCCTTGGGTCTCTCTGAGCTTCTTGTACTTCCTGGAAGTCTTATTTCCTTTGCCAGATTGGGGCAGTTCTCCTTTATTTGTTAAAATAAGTTTTCTACTTGTTGCTGTTCCTTTTCCCCTTCTGGTACCCCTATAATTTGGATGTTGGAACGTTTAAAGATGTCCTGGAGGTTCCTAAGCCTCCCCCTATTTTTTTGTTGTTTTTTTGTTTTTTTTCTAGAAAGAGAGGGAGAGAAACAGCAATGTGTGGTTGCCTCTCATGCGCCCCGCTATTGGGGACCTGGCCCGCAACCCAGGCATGTGCCCTGACTGGGGATTGAACCACAACCCCTTGGTTTGCAAGCCCATGTTCAATCCACTGAGCTATACCAGCCAGGGCCCTTTTTTTTTTTCAATTCTTGTTTCTTCCATCTTTTCTGTTTGGTTGTTTCTTTCTTCCTCTGGTCCACTCCTTTGATTTGAGTCCCAGTTTTCTTTCCATTACTGTTGGTTCCCTGTGCATTTTCCTTCATTTCACTTAGTGTATCCTTCATTTTTCATCTAATCTGCAACCAAAATCATCCAGTTCTGTGAGCATCCTGATCACCAGTGTTTTGAACTGTGAATCTGAAAGTTTGGCTATTTCTTCATCGCTTAGGGTTATTGGCTCTGGGGCTTTGAGCTGTTCTTCTTGAGCCATAATGTTTTGCTCTGTTCATGCCTGTTATGTATGAGGTTCAGAGCCTTAGGTGTTCACCAGGGCGGGGCAACCCACGTTGCTGCATTGTGACAGTGTGTGTGGGGGAGGGGTCAGAGGGAATAATGGCGCTTGTTCCGCTCTCTCTCGAAGTTCTGTACCCTCTGCTGCTTCCCATAAGTAAATTGGGCCCTTCTGGTGCTGGTTCCTGGGTGGGTGGGCTTGTGTACATTCTAGGACCCTGTGGGTCCCTCCAACGAACTCTCCTGTGAGCCTGGGATCCTCTCCCGGCACCTCAACCCCCGCAAGTTTTTTCAATCTGTGCTTTTAGGCTTTATTTCCCGTTGCTGGGGCCCTGGGTTACGTGGTCTTTCTAGCTCCCCATTTTCGCCTGGTTTATCTGCACGCGAATGTATGACTGTGGTCAGCCAACCACCTTGTACGCTTTATTGAGTTTGCTGGTTTCCTCTCTGTGCCTGGATCGCCATCTACCACCTTTACTTGCCAGGACCCCTCTCCTCAGGCCGCCAACCCCACCCCTCTTACCGGTCTGGGTGAATGGTTTGTTGTTGTTGGACTTTGGTACACTTCAGTTTTCTGTCTGTTCTGGTTGTGCTTTTGTTTCTAAATCTGCATTTTCCTTAAATTTGGTTGTGCAAGGAGATACAGTATTTCCACCTTCACCTCCATCTTGGCCAAAAGTCTTGGAGGAGATTTTTAGACCTTGAGTAGATAAGGATTCTCAGCTTTCTCAGACTCACTGCCCAGTTTAAAATAAATATTCTGTGAAATCTCCTTTACTCTCTCAAAATGGAATTCACAGATACACTAACTTACTGAATATACAGTTTCAAGAGGAATTGGTATAAAGTTCTAACTATAATACAAATGAGAAATTAAAAGGGTTAATAAGATAATGTGTATCTCATGTAGTTTCTGAGTCAGATTTCAGTGGGAAATGTAATCATACATTTGCGGTTGCGTGTGGAATGATCTCGAGTTTGACAGCAACAGACGCGGCCACGTGCAGATGTGTCGTATCTGCAGCTCGAGTATACAGCCCGTGTTACTGACTCGACTTTTCTGAAATAGTGGACGACCCTATGAGAATGGCAAAGGAAATAGTGGATCGACAGTGTTTCTTAGTTACATCAGCTATGTTCCTGGAAACATTTCTGTCAGGGCCGTATAAAAATACTGTGTTCACATACAAAGTAGGTGTGGACTTAAATAATTTGTGTAGGCTTTGTATCTCCATTACTGTCTAACAAGACTTCTGGAAGTTGTGGGGTGCAGGGAGTTCTTTGTTACGTGGAATTCTGCTGGGAGTTGCAGAGCAGGCAGCGTCTGCCTGTTAATGCCAAGAAGACTCTCCAGAAACTGACAAGCAAAAACACCCCCAGAGCTTCCACAGTGGCACCTGGAGGCTGTGCCATCCTAATTTTGGAATCATAGCCCTGGAGTCTGGAACTGTGAAGATAAAAACAAAAACAAAAACAAAAACCCCAGCCTTAGAGGAAGTGACAGAATTGGAAAATTACCATGTTGCAGACTTCTCCTGAAATCACATACCCAGGCACAAATTGTCAGTGGTTGCTAAACTCTTGGGTAAAAGGTCAATGGGGGACTTTATAACAGGTGTGTGAGTCTTCACACTGAAAGTGGGACAGCCACACGTTAAGCGTGCTCTGTGGATAAGTTCACAGCTGCCTGGAACTAGAGTGAGCTCCCAGCTTAAAAGAAGTATGAGGGATGTGTTACCAGACACATGAGGTTGCATGTGCTCCATCCAATGCTCCGTCCAAAAACTGAATGGGAAACATTTTTACACACTTAATTGACCTTGTTTTTTCCATCAAATAAATGAATGGCATAGGGAGAGAGAGGCCTGTTAATAAAAGTCCTGTCATCTGGATACAGTGTTGGGCTCTGTTTGGATTTTGACTAGTACTGATTCTAACATTCATTTTTAAAACATCTGGAGTAATTTGAACATGGACCAGGTATTAGATAACATTAGGAATTACTGCTAATTTTAAATGAAGCAATTAACTTGGTTATGCAGGGAAAAAAGAAGTCTTTATCTGTTAGAGATATATATTTACATATATATAATGAAGTCTTTAAGGACTTCATTAAGACATGTCTGGGATGTGCTTTAGAGTAATTTAACCCAAAAGAATCACATTGGGAAGCAAATATAGGTAAAATAAGAATGGTAGAATATTGATAATTTTTGAAACTGAGTTGAAAATGCAAGGGTTTCACAAATTACACTATGTGTACTATTTTGGTCCATCTGAAAATTTATTTAACACCAATTTTTAAAATTAATACCAGTCCTTCACAAAGTCCTTTGAAAAAGCGGAAGAGGAAGGGATACTTCCCAATTCATTCTGTGAGGCTGGTATGACCCTAACACAGAGCCGGAGACAGCACACAAAAACTATAAACCAATGTCCCTTATAAATGTAGATGCAAAAGTCCTCAGCAAAGTACTAGGAAACAAACCTGGCAACATATGAAATACATACATCATGACCAAGTAAAGTTTATTCCAGAATTGGTTAG